ATGTGGACAGACTTCTTGCCTTGATGCTGGGTATGCGATACAAACATGTCGTAACCTTCAGTCGAATTCGCTATGTTGTCATTTCTTTTTGGTTTACTGGTACTCTATTTGCGGCGCTTTGGATTTGGAGAAGAGACGTTGGACAAAAGTTATCCGCTACTTTCATTGTGCTGTCTCTGATTACCTCAATTTCCTCTTTCGTCAAGATATACCTTAAGTTACGACAGCATCAAACCCAAATACAAAACAACTTCCCCCAAGGATTTCTAAGCGAATTAGGGAATCAGCTGAACATAGCAAGGTACAAAAAAACGGTGTCCAGCATTTTGTGGGTGCAGTTTGCTTTACTTGTGTGTTATGTTCCTTATGGAGTATTAGCTGGAACAAAAATGCGTGACAGTGCGGTGCCAAAGTTGGCTACAGAGACTTTGATATTCATGAATTCTTCTCTAAACCCGGTCCTGTACTGTTGGAAGATCGGAGAAGTGAGAAAAAAAGTAAAGGGAATAATTAGACAGCTTTGGTGTTGTTGAAATATCAGAATGTTGTTGTAAATTATAAGGTGCCCCAAGACAAGGAAACGTTTTTTGCAAGGCTATTGAATTGTCTGGTGGAGAAAATATTAGTGGAACAAACTCTGTCAACGTAACAGTACGTGTTGCTATCATTAATTTAAGACAGTTAAGATGACGGTTACACCATTTTTTCCAATAAGTATAGTAGGTTATAAGTATATTACAGCCAAAATCCACAGAGCTTCCCCACCCCACCCCCGATAAACAATGACTGGTCCCTAAATGTAGAAATTCAGTTATCTCGACGAACTGAAATTTCAGGCAGCAACAAAAATCTCTTGTATATCTAAAAGAAAAATTCTATCGGTAGAAAAAACTTGCCTGTTCGAAATTGTAGATTGGCTGAAGCTCAAGAATTGGTAAACAGCCAGGAAATCTTACCCATCGTCTCTTTTTCCACTCGCAGCTTTGTCATAGTTCCGCATCGCTCTACTGATCTCGTCTCATAGCTTTTTACGGATCAAAGATCATTAAGGGCTGCAGTGAGAAAGGCAAGGAAAAACTGGAATAGCATCGTAAAAGAAGTTATTTTGTTTACTTTTACTTCTATTAGTGCTGTCGGTATTTTCTCAATTTGAACTCGAAAGGGAAACATTTCTCTGACTTTAACCGATAACCCCTTTGATTTGCATTATTTGGACTTGAATGAAGAAAAAGATTGGCAACTTAAGACTGCATTTGGCTACTGATATTGACATCTTTCTTGACTCTTTACTCAAATTGCAAATGGTAAGGCGTGCATAATAGTGGTGGGCATCAGTTGTTTTGACTATGGATTACACAAATCTCTAGGTACTAAAGTTTGAACCTACCAAGAGATAAATCCAGCTAAAGTTCATTTCTAATAATCATCATTTCTATCTATAAAGTTCAAACTATCTAGCCAACGTTCCTTAACTTTAAGGAAAAGTTTGCCGAAATGTCATTCAGGGGCCAATCATGGTCTTCTTTTTACTACAACAAATGAGATTTTAAATGATTATTATAGTCGATTATTATTATAGTACAACTCTGAGTCTTTTCCTTAACCATTTACACTATCCCTCCAAATGCTGTCTTGATATTTGATGTAGAGCTGCTTGGGCTGGAATGAGTGGAAGATCAATCAACATGATTCAAAGCCATTTTTTCCTCATCAAAATATATATTAGTATAGATGCTTAAAGTTTAAATATATCTCTTATTCTGGATTACATGTAGCTAAGTTAAGTGACTTAATGCATACTAATTCCATTTGTAAACTTGTTTACTTCCTGGATAAAGTAAAGTTCTGATGTGGAAGTGAACTTCTTTCTTTTTTACCTTTGCCATTCCAGGCTCCCACCTTTTATTCTGATGTTTTGCCAATTTTTGCATTGAAAGCATTATTTCTTGTCACCTATCTCTCATTTTATGTCCTTTCTTCTCTTTTGTTGGTTTGTTTCTCTTTTTGAGATAACATCCTGTTTTCTTACCTCATGTAATGTCCATGCCCCTGTTCCCCTCCACTTTGCTAACGTTTATTAATTGATTGTACTGCTCATACAGCTTACTATGCTTGGTGCTTTGTTTATGAATAAAGTAGGCTTTAATGCTTAGAACGTTGATATCTAGTTGCTTATTTTCATTACGGAATGGATAAAAGTCTATTTTTTTTCCCAGTCTAATGATTGTGCAGTTCCTGCATCTTTCTATTAAGCACTGTGAATAGCATGCAAGAATCCAGTCCTTTTCATAACTGGGCAAAGTCCTGTTTAGATTTCTGGGTGTATCTGACAAAAAGCTATGCTCGTGTATTAAAGGGTATATTTCACCAAGGGTAGGAAAACGCGCCCTTTCCACACCACTTAATATAACTTGAATACTATACCAACAGACTCGAACCAGACGTGACTCAACGTGACCCACTATAGTGCACAAAAGTTCCTAACTGGAACCTAAAACGATATTGTACTGCATTGTTTAAAGGGGAGAAGAAAGTTTTTGAATGAACAGAATGGATTTACAATGAAAGACGAAAAGCGGTATCCTTGTTCTTTTAAAGTGCGCCTCCCTTGCCCATCTCCATCTTTCTCCAGTACCAGGAAAGAAGAGAGAATTGAAACTAAGTCTGGAAGGGAAAAATTAGGGTTAAAGTGTGTTGAAGGGATAGGTGGCCGAAAATGGTAACATGAAATGTAGCTGGACAGTTCGCAGAGAATATGACAGAAGTTTCGGAAATTGTAAGGCAGAATTCTGGATTTGTGAATGTACTGTTACACTGCTCTCTTGCTGGTATGATGAAGCATCTCGGGTTGCGTGTTATCATGAATTAACACTTTTTCTTTGTCTTCCTATCTATGTATGACGGTGATAAACTTTTGAAAGTCATAACAATACTGAGTCTCTTTCTTCGAAATCTGACTCAACTTGAGGAAAGTGCAAAGAAAAAATCTTAAAGTTTTGTGGAAGTTACCGTAACCAGACAAAATACTTTGTTTGATTCTAAAAGCGCCCTGATTGGTCAAAAACCTATCGTTCATTGCACCGGTAAATCCACAGAGAATTGAGGTTTATTTCGTAAAAGCGTTAGACCGCACCTTCTATCAAAAAGGCTGTTTAACAAATAGATTCCAAGTTGCCGTGTGTCTGTTCAGTAATACATCACAGATGACGTCAAAATGTGGTAAGAATAAAAAAGTGGCACACGAGGCGCAGCCGAGTGTCACTGATGTACTCACCACATTTTGACGTCCTCTGTGATCTATTATTGAACAGACGCACGGCAACTTGGAATCTATTTGTTCTATATAATAAAGAATTAAAAAACAGTTTTAATGATGACGTCATCTACACGTCTGTCCTCTAATAGATCATAAGTGAGAACCAATCAGAATGCGTGTATAACTGAGCTTATTATATAAAAATCACTCGCCAGCGGCTTGTGATTTACAAATTTTCCTCATGTGTTCCCAACGTCACGCGTGGCCTATTACGCTCGTAAACAGAGTGAGCGCTTTAATAAACCCAGAAAGTAGAGCGGAAAGAAAATGAAAGTGATGCGTGACGACTTCATTTTCAATGGCTTTCAACTGACTAGTTGTCACTGAACCGTCATGGCAACACTTTTAAAACCTCTGAACGTTTATGAACAAAAAAACACGGCACAGAATACAAAGAATGCAAGTTAACTGCAAATATCAAAGGAAAACGTGTTATTCTGATTAGCAGGATTTTGTAACGCATGGTATATAAGCATTTTACTCTCAAGAATAAATATAACTCTGTCGATCGGTCAGCGAGAATTTAAATAGAAAACACTTACAGGAGAAAACAAAAAATACAAGACAAATTAGAAACAGGCAGCAGCAAGAGGGGTTGGGGTGTGTTTTGGTGCAACTGATCGTGTTAATTTATAGTAGTGTAAGAGAGATTCCAGATGGAGAAGCACTGAATATTGAGAAAAAAAAACCCTATGGTTTTAGTTGGTAATAAAAACTTTAATCGTAATTTATTGCCGTTCCATTAAAGAACGTAAAAATCATAATTGCAGACTGTTTACAAAAGGAAGTTTATCGTTTGAATAATTTAGTACGAGGGAGACAGGTGGTCGTAAAAGGAAAACTCAGGAGAAACTGAAAGCAATTGTTTAAGCAGTAATTGCACACATTTCAGTATGAAAATAAAGAAAATTAAATGTATGGTTCTCTTACAGAAGGTGAAAATTTTTCTATGCATTCACTTCTTTCAGAAATTTAAGTTGATCTTTAACTCAGTATAGTTACGAATTGAGACCTCGTCAATTTCAGTACATAAAAATCTTTTCCAGTAGGTGGAACCAACGTTTAATAATTAATGAACCAATGTTAAATTTTCCGTTCAAACCGGCTTGAAACACTGCATCTATGGACTTCACTCGACAGTTATAGGCAACTTTTAGGGTTTGGAATTCTAGACAGATTTGTAAGTCCAAAGCACCCCTAAAATTTTGATTTTTTTTTCGGATGGGATTTGAGGATATCATTTCTCGAGCTAGACCGGTGTGAGAACCATTTTCAATAAATCTTGTCTTATTGAGGGCACCCCACATCTATTCGATGAAATCAAACTCTTATTAGCTAAGATCAATTAGAGCCGAAGATTAAGTTATTACAGCAGACATCAGGACATTGACTTAATTACCTATGTACAAATAGGAAAGACGATTGTGAAACACAACTTAAAATACGTGTTGACCTGTCACGAAGAGTACACAATTCAATGCAAGCAAACATGCAAATGTGACGTTCGCCTGTTCTATTAGCTTAACTAAGGACTGCCTTGGGGCGCTACGTGACATGTGATACAGGTGTTCCAAGGTCTGTCAGGGTTTTAATGAAAAGAAACTTTATCTTTATATCTTGATTATTACAGATAAGGAAGGAACTCCATTTCCAAGAGAGTGATTGCCTATTCGATCACGTATGACAACGCGCTTACACGCTGACAAAACAAAAGTACTTAAAAAGCGGCGATCACACCAGCTATGGGTACCAAATACCCTCAAATCATTAAACACGATTGACTGAATTATTCTGCCGACGTAAAAAAATCGTCCATACGCTACTAAAGAACGCCGAGCAACATCACGGCAAGCATCATATGATGGCAGATGATTTAACCAAACCATAATGGCCGGCAGTTCTGGAAATATAGACCAAGTGGTGAAGCTAAGTCAAGCTATCAGCAAAACTACAACAGGTGTAGTAGAATTTTTCTCAGGTCTGAACATTTTTCTTGCCTTCACGGCATTTCTTGGCAATGTTCTTATCCTCTTCGCTCTCCGGCAAGTGACTTCTATTCATCCGCCGACAAAACTCCTCTTTCAGTGCTTAGCGGTGACTGATCTTTGCGTCGGTTTTATTGTACAACCACTATTCTGCGCCTACTTTATGCTCCATGTAAGAGAGATGAACGTGAATAGTCTGTATTATATTTTTAAAGTTGGCGGAGGTTTAACAAACATTTTATGTGGGATATCTGTTTTGACGTCAACTGCAATCAATGTGGACAGACTTCTTGCCTTGATGCTGGGTATGCGATACAAACATGTCGTAACCTTCAGTCGAATTCGCTATGTTGTCATTTCTTTTTGGCTTACTGGTGTACTATTTGTAGCGCTCTGGGTTTGGAGAAGAGACATTGGACAAAAGTTATCCTCTACTTTCATTCTGCTGTCTCTGATTACTTCAATTTCCTCTTTTGTCAAGATATACCTTAGGTTACGACAGCATCAAACCCAAATACGAAACAACTTTCCCCAAGGACGTCTTAGCGAATTAGGGAATCAGCTGAACATAGCAAGGTACAAAAAAACGGTGTCCAGCATTTTGTGGGTGCAGTTTGCTTTATTTGTGTGTTATGTTCCTTATGGAATATTAGCTGGAACAAAAATGCTTGACAGTGTGGTGCCAAAGTTGGCTACAGAGACTTTGATATCCATGAACTCATCTCTAAACCCGGTCCTGTACTGTTGGAAGATCGGAGAAGTGAGAAAAAAAGTAAAGGGAATTGTTGTACAGTTGTGGTGTTGTTAAAATATCAGAATATTGTTGTAAATTACAAGGTGCCCCAAGACAAGAAAACGTTTTTTACAAGGCTATTGAATTGTCTGGTGGAGAAAATATATATTATTTGAACAAACTCTGTCAACGTAACAGTACGTATTTCATTATTAATTTAAGACAGTTAAGATGACGGTTACACCTTCTTTTCCAATAACCCTGTCGAAAAAAAAGTAGATAATCACTAGTTCTCGAACTCTGTCATATCTTAAATAGCTAAATATTTTCTCTTTCATGTGTAAATAGCTGAAAGCACGGTGCAATCAGTTTTCAGTTTTATCGCCCGAGAGGGGGGACGGGGAACGTGAGAACAGGAGAACAAGGACACGGGGAGATGGAGGAACGGTGAAAGGGAGGAACGGAAGAACGGAAGAACGGGGGAACGGGAGAACGGGGGAACGGGAGAACGGGGGAACGGGGAAACGGGAGAACGGGGAAACGGGAGAACGGGGAAACGGGAGAACGGGGAAACGGGAGAACGGGGAAACGGGAGAACGGGGAAACGGGAGAACGGGGGAACGGGGGAACGGGAGAGCGGGGGAATGGGAGAGCGGGAGAACGGGGGAACGGGAGAGCGGGAGAGCGGGAGAACGGGGGAACGGGAGAACGGGAGAACGGGAGAGCGGGAGAACGGGAGAACAGGAGAACGGGAGAACGGGGGAACGGAAGAACGGGAGAACGGGAGAACGGGAGAACGGGAGAACGGGAGAACGGGAGAACGGGAGAACGGGAGAACGGGAGAACGGGAGAACGGGGGAACGGGGGAACGGGGGAACGGGAGAACGGAAGAACGGGGGAACGGGAGAACGGAAGAACGGGAGAACGGGAGAACGGGGGAACGGGGGAACGGGGGAACGGGGGAACGGGGGAACGGTAGAACGGGGGAACGGTAGAACGGGGGAACGGTAGAACGGGGGAACGGTAGAACGGGGGAACGGGGGAACGGGGGAACGGGAGAACGGGGGAACGGGGGAACGGTAGAACGGGGGAACGGGAGAACGGGAGAACGGGGGAACGGGAGAGCGGGAGAACGGGAGAACAGGAGAACTGGAGAACGGGGGAACGGGAGAACGGGAGAACGGGAGAACGGGAGAACGGGAGAACGGGAGAACGGGAGAACGGGAGAACGGGGGAACGGGGGAACGGGGGAACGGGAGAACGGAAGAACGGGGGAACGGGAGAACGGGGGAATGGGAGAACGGGGGCAAGGGAGAAAGGGGGAACGCGAGAACGGGAGAACGGGGGAACGGGGGAACGGGGGAACGGGAGAACCGAAGAACCGGCGAACCGGCTAACCGAAGAACGGGAGAACGGGAGCACGGGGGAACGGGGGAACGGGGGAACGGGAACGGGGGAACGGGGGAACGGTAGAACGGGGGAACGGGGGAACGGGAGAACGGGGGAATGAGGAACGGGGGAACGGGAGAACGGGAGAACGGGAGAACGGGAGAACGGGAGAACGGGAGAACGGGGGAACGGGAGAACGGGGGAACGGGAGAACGGGGAACGGGGAACGGGGAACGGGGAACGAGGAACGGGGAACGGGGAACGGGGAACGGGGAACGAGGAACGGGGAACGGGGAACGGGGAACGGGGAACGGGGAACGGGGAACGGGGGATGTTGGGGGATCACATGATCTTAAGGGGGAACGGGGGATGTTGGGGATCACATGATCTTAAGGGGGAGCAGAAGGGGGATCAGTCGTCGCCAACAGAGTATAAGTGGAGGACTATGGAAAATTGACTGCCAATTAAGAGGCGATCTCTGTAAGAGCGGTCCAGGGCATTTCGCATCGGAAAAAAGGTTTTCTCTCAAACTTTACCCAATAAACTATCTTTGGTAACAAGTAAATAAAACCACATTAGTTTTTGGAAATACCTCAAAATAAAATTTTTAGAGCTCTCAAAAGTCAAAGCTGCAAAAGGCCCTTTTTTGACCTCTTGCGACATCGAAAATTTCAAATGTTGAATAGCCCGGTCCTCGTATCACACCGCATGCAACAAAAAATATTTTGTATTCTTAAAGTGTGTGATATATAAGGTGTACAAAATGCATTTCAATTTTGATATTCGTTTATTCAGAGGCTCGCCATAATTTATTTAAAAACACTCGTTGGACAGCTTTCTGAAATTGGTTAAAAGTACTCTTTCTTTCTCGATTGATATTGCTCAAGTCCAGACCAGACCATTAAAAACTCCGCTTGATTTCTGCTAATAAGATGTTTGGCTGCAGAAAAATATAAAAACATCTTGCACTTATTGATTTTCTTCGCCGAGGTGACTTCGAACTTTTAGCGATATTGCAAGCGTGACAGCCGATTATGCAAATTAGTTCATTGAGCAAACTCCGACCGTTTTATGTGAGTAGCTCAATAAATCTTAGATTTTAACCATTTTAAGTAGAAAATATAGTAGGACAGAGCTTTAAACCACACCGATTAATACTTTAAGCATTTTAAAAGGCCAAAATTTGACAAATTTTATTATCTCGTGACGAAAGACGTTAACAACAACGTATCGAATATCATAATTTGATTAGCGCTCGCAAACCCCTTCTTTAAAAATTTGGCTTCTGTTATTTCATATTTGAGTTCTGATGGCTTACGCTATTCAAACCTGTATGAACATTTCAAAATTAAACTACAGGATTCTATTTAGTGTAACCGGCGATAACAGCACACACTAAATTCACCGTGACCAGTGACTCTGTCACGTAATGCCATCGTGTAATTGTCCTGAATACTTCTCACGTCTAAATAAAGCAGCGATTTCTCGGATTTCTCGCTGAAAGGGAAAAAATGATATTTGGTCGTCACATCTGAAAAAAAAAAAGATATCGCATTCGCATAACGGGTGGACATCATAACTAGATTGCATAACAACTGCACTCTGAAATCATTTCCTCCATTTTTGCAAGAGGTGCTGCATTTGTATCTTGCATTTTGAATGCGAGCTCAAAATGTTCCCATATGTCTCTTAGCATCTTGACTTTGAGACTAGACAACCTTGCTTCTCTTGCCAACGAGCACACATCATAGATATCAAACATGATTGGATGTTTCAATCTATCTCATCCATTACTGTGTTCCTCGCCTCTCTCAAACACCCTTCGTCCACATCAGACGCGGATGCTTCTATCAAGTGGTCGTCTGCGTCGGTGGCATCATCCGATTCTTGTTGTATTTTAAATTGCTGTTTAAGGCACAATCTCGAGAAGAAACCCTGAATCTGTATGTTGGATAACCACTCTGTTCTATCGAACATTCTCTCTCCATCTATTGTGCAAGCAGTTCGCATATCCTTTGCTACTTTCACTGGGTTTGGTTTCTGCCAGTGTCTCATCCGATATTAAATTTCTGTTTCAAGTACTGCCTGACGTTTTGCGAAAGCCGTTCACTTGCACCTCTCTTATGAAGAGCCCATCCCATGGGAAGCTTTGATGTACTTGTCAAGGGTTCTGTGGCCACTGCAACCAGTTCAGTCGAACTTTCACCCTCTAATGACAATGACTGAAAGTAATGAACCCACTACCTCTTCACTTTGTCATAAAGACTTTAAGTCATGCTCGCAGGCACAGGACTTACATGATGAACCAGCTAGTTCATATGGAAGTCAAGGTCGGCCTGCGTCTTAAAATCTTCATCGCAACCAGGTTCAGGGCATTGATAGGAACTACCGTCGTTGCCATCATTGCTTTCTCCTGCTGATGCAGTTCGTCGAGCAGTAGTGGGGAAAAATGGAATCTCCTTCACCAGATCCGTCATTTTTTCTGTGGAAAAATTGCAATTTTAATTTTACCGAATAAACTTTCCAGACCCAACATTAAACGCTCTCCAAACGCGCAGGCCCTCTTGTGTAAGTTGCTGAAAGTGGCAATCGTGATGTCCTAGCCCTCGTAGAGTTGATACTAGCTTACTGTTGTGATAGCAACCTACTTCATCCGATCTTATAAAGGGCCTTTTTTATTCCTGAATTTCTTAACTTTATGGTGACAAAGAGATTTCCTAGGACTGACAGCACTGAAAACCAGTCTTTTTTACAGCTGTTAAGAAGGTCTACGTATCAGGTTACTTCCAGGCTTTCCTCCTGTCTTACAACAGCGCTACTCACATGCCAATTGATTTCCCTCTAGGGAAACCATTCTGCTTGCTTTTCCCGGAACTTCATCGCTATGAACTTCATTGTCCAGTCAACTATTATAAATGCTTCATCTCCCTCCAAAGTATCGAAAATTTGCCGCTCGTACTGATCCTGGTTTCTGCTCTCAGGATATACCCTCTCCATTCAAAGGTCTTAGCGGCAGCATTTTTTGCTTCATACAGATAGTCTTCCGCTTGAAACCTACCCAATTGCATTGTGTACTCAGAAATAGCGCCTTTTACTTCTTCAAGAACACTCTTCAACATCTCACAATCCTCACACTTCACGTTGTGACTGTGACTGCATACTTTCTGAACTTCAGTGTCACCAGCATAGCTCAGTACAAAGACCCTACAGTGATCGGCACATTTGCTATCGTCCTCTTCGCAGTGATTACGGTATGTAGTCTTCAAATACAACTTGCTCTCCTGAAGCCTCTTCCGAACTTCTTTACACTAGTCCTTTTCTGCTCCCACGCTTTCCAATTCGTCTATAATTTGGAGAAAATCCTTGAAACCATCCGCTCCCTCAGCTGCAGTATCGTGTAAACCTCTATATAACACCATACATCTTAGAAATGGCCTTTGACTTTTGCAAGTTGACAGAATACCGGCTCTTTAGCCCTTTGGAATCGCCACCAGGGTGTGTCGGATACTGGCACGCTGAACTTTGGCGCCAGAACTTCCCATAAGTGTGCCTATGCTTTGCGCAGACCCACATTTTGCCATAACTGAGTCTTCTGCATCGAACAGGCCAGCCCTTGCATAGATAAGCTCTCCTTCTGTGAAACTCTCTTTTGACAAATGGATTAAGCAGAGATGACTCTTTATTGA